TCAAATAATAATTTTCCCATTAATTTATCATTTATTATAGTTAATTTTCCTTGAGTTATTGTATATACGGAAGGATACTAACAATTTTTTTTGTGAAAAAAAAAAAATTATTGATTAAAATTTACTGAAATCATAATAATATATAAAAATAAATATCATTAATTCTTAATAAAAATCATATTTAATATAATAATCTTAATAAAAAATTCATAATAATATTAATAATCGTATAAAATAATAATAAAATAATTATATAATATAAATCATAATAATAAAAATAATTTAATAATGTTCATATAAAATAATCTCAATAATGCTAAAAGGTGATATAAATCACGTATAAGACAAAAATGCAGAATAAAAATGCCATGATTTATTAGTACCAGTTAATTTCTCAAAGAAATTGGACGTTTTCACTGACTAATGAAAACGGAAAACTCAAAGAAAACGGAGGATTGCTCAAAGAAAATGGAAACTCAAAAGAAACGGGTAAAGTATTGCCTCAACAGAAAAATGGAAATCAATAGAAATCTGGGTATTGCTCAAAGAAAATGGTAAATAAAAAGAAAACCGAGTATACCTATGGAAATGGAAAATAAAAAGAAAACGGAGTAGTATTACCTCAAAGGAAAAACGGAAAATAAAAGAAAACGGAGTATTGCCTCAAGGAAAAAAAACGGGAGACTAAAAGAAAACGGAGCACTGCCTTCAAAGAAAGGACGTAGAATTGCCTTTACAGAAACGGGGAAAATAATCACCAGTAAACTCATATAAATGTAAGTAATCGAAGGTAATTGAATAAATACCTTTATAATCGTTACAAAAGTTAGTTAATAAATACAAAAATGTTACTTAAATCTAAGTATAAAAAAACATTAGTTTGTTAAATTGATAATTGCATTTTATGAGAATACAAAATGAGGTAAAAAGAGACGAGATGAATATGAAAGGAAGAGACAAAGTAGAAGAGAAATGAGGAAGAGGGGGGAGAGGAAGGAAGAAAAGAAGACAAAAGAAGATAAAAAGAGGAAGAGGTAGTGGGGGAGAGAAGAAGAAAGAAGACAAAAGAAGATAAAAAGAGGAAGAGTGGGAGAAAGAGAAGGAAGAAAAACAGTAGAGAGAAAAGACAACGAAAAGAAGATAAAAAGAGAGAATAGAGGAAGAAAGAGAAAGAGAAACACAGAGAAAAAAAAGTCGAAAGAAGGAGAAAAGAGAGAATAGAGGAAGAAAGAGAAGAAAAACGACAAAAAGAAGACAAAAGAAGGATAAAACAGGTGAGAAAGATGAAGAGAGAAGAGAAGGAAGAAAGAAGGAAGGAAACAAGAGAAAAGAAGCGAAAGAGAGAAAAAAAGGAAAGGGCAGAGGAGGAATAGGCAAAGAAAAAGGAAGAGAGAAAGGAAAATAAAGGAGAAAGCAAAAGAAAAAGGGAAAAGAGCGTAGAAAAATAAGGAAGAAGAAGAGAATTAAGAGGAGAGAGGAGAGAGAAAGTGAAACAAATTGATAAAAACAAGAAATTAAATTTAAGAAAAGAAAGGGGAAAGAAAGAGAAAAGAAAGAAATGGATCGTAAAAAAAAAAAAAAAATAATAATGTATTTTATAAAAGTAGAAAAAAAAAAAAAAAAAAAATACTTACTTCTATTTACAATTTTAAGTATATCAGTTCTTATAAAAAAATTGACTAATTTATTAAATTAACATTAAATATAATGTTATAAAAGGATCATTCCCCCTTGGTTTCATAAAAAAAATAAATAAATAAATAAAAAAATTAATGATACTTACGCACATGGTTGGAAAAATGCACATGGCAGAACGCACAGGGTCCTTTACATTCTTTGAGTCACTATATAATGCACTTGAGTCCTTTTACGCGCACTTGAGTCCTGTGTGTACTTGTGAGTATGTGTTCATGACATTCTCTACATGTTACGTCCATTTACGCATACAGTAACCTTTCTTCTTATTTGTGTACATGACACTTTGTGTGCGTAGTGAGTGATGTAGCAATGCCAATGTCTAGGCGTGGTACATGGGTGTTATACGCACGTGCCACTGTCAGGCACGGTACATGGTGTATAGCACACAATTCCCTTAAATGACATTATGTACACATGCAATCGTAATACACTATGAAAAACACTCAATATTTTTTTTTTTTTTCTTTTTGTTATTGTAAAAAAATATTAATCGTTAATTAATTAAAAAACGCAAATATTTCTAAGTAAAAAAAGTTTTTGTTTTATTTTTAATTCTAATATTTTTCTTTTTTTCATTGTTC